TACCTAGGGACACACACACACACACACACACACACACACACACACACAGAATTCCCATTGTTATTCCCCCTTATTCTGGCTTTAGGGATAACAGTGGGCATTGGCACTGGAAGTGCCAGCTTAAATACTTCTGTAACTTGCTATCACTCTTTCAAGATATACAGGAGAGCTATGATAAAATTTTACAAAACATAATTAAAATTCGAGATCAGTGGGCTAGAGATGGCTCAGTGGGTAAGAGCACTGGCTGTTCTTGAAGAGGACCCAGGTTCTATTCTATGCACCCACATGGTGGCTAACAACCATCTGTATCTCCAGTTCCAGTGGATCTGATGCCTTTTTCTGACCTCCATAGGCATTGCACGGCACGGGTGTACTTACGTACATGCAGACAATGCACTCATACACATGAAATAAAATAATAAATAAAATACTTTTTAAAAATAAGTAAAATTCAAGATCAGGTACATTCCTTGGCAGCAGTCACTCTACACAACAGGAGGGGTTTAGATCTGCTGTCAGTGGAAAAATGGGGGCTTTGTCTTTTTTTTTTCATTAAGGAATGCTGCTTTTATGTCCATTCAGGCTGGACAGAGACAGCAAAAGAGCTGATTGCACTTCAATAATCAAACAAGAGTCATGAAAGTCTTGGAGTAGATGGTATCAAAATTTCCATGGATTTCCTGGCTTCTGTAATTGCCCCTGTAATAACTATCTTGATCATTATATACACAGGCCCCTCCTTAATCTGAATGCTGATTCAGCACATCCACATTTTGCAACATGGTGCTTGGACACACGTGGATAATATCTTCCTGATGCAAGAATTCCAATACCAATCACTGACCCAGCAACGTTAAACAGACTGAAGAACACAGAACTAAGGGAATGGATGGCCAGACCTAGCTGCCTTATTTATTTATACACATGTGTGCTGGATACCTTTAGTGTCAACTTGACACACCTGGGTTGAGGGAGCCACAATTGGGGAATTGCCTCCACTGGACTGGTCTGTGGCCATGTCCATGGGGCACGTTCTTGATTGTTGAATGGTGTGGGAGGGCCCAGCCCACAGCAGGTGGTGCCACCCCTGGGCAGGTGGGCCTGTGTTGCATAAGAAAGCATGTTGAACAGGGGCCAAGGAGCAAGTCAGTAAGCAGCATTCCTCCATGGCCTGTGCTCCAGTTCCTGTATCTAGGTTCTTCATGGTTGATTCTGGGACCCCTGCTGTAGGAAGAGGTAAATAGCCCTCCTGAGTTTTGTAAAGCAATATCCCTCAATGTTGAGGAGTACACACACCTAGGAATTTAGAGACCTCAGACATCACAAGGCTAAACCCCATCCCCTCCCCATCCAGTGAATGAATACACCTAAGGTGCTGTTCCTCCACACCTCCCCCATATCACATCGTCTGGATTCCTTCCTCACTTCCCCACAGTGCAAGTCTCTCCTGATTCTACCCTTCCCCACATGCTTTTAAATAGGTCTTCTTGCTTTTCCAGGTTGTCCAAAATAACTCCTCTGATTTTGGACCCCACCACACTCTTTGCCATTATATAAATCCATGACCTCAAGGAAAAACCTCTGTCTCAGTGTTCTGTATTGGATCCAATACCTTTCATTGTTCATCTATGCAACTTGCATTTCACCAGTATGTCTGTCTGCCTTTGATGGTTGGCAAACAAGATTTTGACCTAGAGAATTTAGGAAGTGCAAACCTGGAAGAAAATAATATATTTGCCAGCTAGAGGAGGATGTAAACTTTACGCACACCTCAAGAAAGCAAGTTGATGTTTTATTTTAAGTGAGATGACTACAAGACTATTGTGCACTTGTGGGAAATTTCATCACAGGGTCCCCTGGCAGATGTTGCAAATGCTAGATGCCACACTAGCCCTCTGATAGTTCAGTACGGTAGCATGCCTGAGCTTTTGATTCCATAATTTCAATGACTTCATCTCATAAATGAACATGCCTACACCAAGGAGTGAAAGGGTGAAGGTCACAATCCCTGTTGGGAACACATAAGTGTGGTATTTCTTTATCAGGGCTCCTTTCTTAACAGGAAAGGTGGGTGGAAAGTCAAAAGTGGTGTTGCCATAGATGTCTACCACATGATTCCAGCTCACAGCAACAACTGTGCACAGACTGCAGAGAATGAGAATGAAGACAGACGACTTGTAGCACAACTTCAGGGTCTCTGAAAATGGAACTTTGACATAAATAACCCTATGGGCCACTGCGCTGAAAATCAGGACTACCGGTTTTAACAAAACAGAGAATAATATCAGGTCCTGTGCATACATAAATTCAGGTGAAATTGGCCAGGTCGAATTGATAGGGCTGTTCACTAGCAGCTTAGTCGCTGAGCCAGAGACATTAAACTCTTGATAATAACAAACTTCCCAGAGTCCAATGAACACAAACTGAACAATGTCACTATCGAATTCCCACAGGCGCCAGGATGTGCTCCTTGCTAAGATGATTCCCAAACCGAAGGACAACAGGATGCAAATGAGGCCCATCGGTCTGAAGATCCCGTCCTTTACCCCAACCAACCTGAAAATGAGATTAAGAAATTATACAATCCAGCCAGGAACACAAAGGAAGGAGGGAAAACAGAATGCGTCATGGTTGACGTAGCACTAAGCACTTAGACCTTGTCTCTTGCTGTCTGAAAGTTGTATTGAAGTGGTCTAAACATACATCAGGGTTCTAAACATTGTAGGTAAGAAGAAAAGAAACCTGAAAACCTGTGACAACCCATTGCGAGATGTTTGGGACAACAACTTCACAGTATCTTTCAGAAGCTGAAATGTTCATATTTGTTGACTACAAATTTCCATTCTTGGAATTTATACTAATGTAGGACTTTGGAAGATGACACTTCTTTCAGTGCTGATTGCAAAGCATAAATATTATAAATAACCTAAATGAGTGTAATAACCATAGGAAAGCTCATACGAATAATCATTTCTACAATGTTATACTGGAATATTGGAATATAATATGAGCACAGCAAGTAGTGGGTTAATTTATATGATTTGTGGAAGAAACAAGCAAAATGAAAAAAATAGACATGGTATGCCCATATATGTCAAAATACAAGCACACCAGACTTCCTTATATATACAAAGAGATATAAACATAAAACATATGTACAAAGATAGGAACTCTAAGGAAATCAATTGATTAGGGTAGACTATCATTCTTATTTATGCATTTTTCTGAAATGTATACATTTCTAAAGAAAGCTATACATATTTTTATAATTAAAAGCAGAGTGAGCATGACCTTAAAGATCTGTGTGTAATTGATCTGGGGATATAGATCAGTGATATACTGATTGCATAACCTGTGAGACCCTGAGTTGAATCTCCAATACCACATAACAAAAACCTATAGATGAGGCATGAAGGATTATGGATATTTCCATTATTACCCATCACTTACTCAAAATTCCACATTTAAAGAATTTGCTTTGAGTGTAGCTTCCAAAATGCCCTAAAGTATTTTACATGAGTATATATCTTCTTTGACAAAAAAAAATTCACTTCACATTTACAAATAAGTGAGCCTTGTGTTAATGAGGGTGAGAAAATTATGCCTTGAGGGATCCTGTTGTTTTGTTTGGCAGAAAGAAAGTGAAGTCTTTTAGACACTAGGCATGTAGTAGATAATGTCATTGATACTGGCCATGTAGAACATTTTAGGCACGTACCAATTGCATCTCCTTGTCAGGAAACATTCTTTCCCATCTCCACTGTTCCACAGTCTTCTATTTTATATATGCTTCCTAATTGGGTGAGATCAATAGCTGTACTAATTGAGAAGTTATATCAGCAAGATGGGTTGGTAGCCGATGACTAGCTTGGCATACTCCCTGTCTGTGAAGTCTGCCTTGCCAAGGTCTGAGGTGGTGGACTGAAGGACCAGTGTGCTTTTCAGTTCCCATATCTGAAACTCATGGAGTGGTTGCATGTGTTCTTAAAAACCAAACTTGAAAGCCTCTAAATAACTTTTTTTAAATTTTTACCTTCTCTTGGTGTAGGTGAACTTATCCATTTGGAAGACATCTGGATCACAGACGTTCTTTGTAATGAACTAAGAGACTCCCAGGAAGAGACCTTGAGGAAAAGAAATATTATTACACATATTTTTCAACTTAGAACAATGCCTAACCTACCCTGGTTCTCGCAAACCTTCTTTTCCTTCCTAGCCTATGCTTTGCTTAGTTCACACCTTGTTGAAACACTTCAGGAATATTAACACATTACATGATACTGGTCCTCTAATAATATCCACAAAGTTATTATAGGTATTACAGATAGGGAAAGAAAACACAGAGAAGAGGACTAACATACACAAGTTCAGAAAGCTACACTGGTAAAATGGGCAGTGCAGCTCCCAGAGCCCTCACGTTTATACACAGTGATTCTTGGCACTCACCTTATTCAGCAGGATTTATTCACATGAAGTAAATGTCAACAAATAGCCTAATCATATGTCGATGGCTATTTTTAGCATTCTGAATCTTATAAGATGAAAGTTATGAACAAAAAACCATGTGAAGAATATGAATACTTGCCTCTGTCTCCTTTGCTCAGTTTGAATGGAGTTCTTTACACAGAATAACTTAAAAAGAAAAAAAATACAAAAGTTAGCAAGAAAGCAGAAGAATTAAAATCTTTGTGCGTTGCTGGTGGTAATGGAAAATATTTGCAGTCACTATAGAGAACTATACACTCATTCCTCAAAAGCTTAAACACAAAATTACCAGGATTTCTGCCTTGGGCCAAGTACTCGAGAAATCAAAGCAGGGTCTTGAATAGGTATTTGTGTAGCCAGACTCACGGCATTATCCTCAATACTCAAAGGTGGAACTGATTTACATGTCCACCGATTGGATGAATGGATAAACAAAAAGTGGTATATATGCAGAGGAAGGAAATTCTGACCTGCTACATGGTGAACCTTAAAACTATGATAGTGAGGAAATGCAATCATAAAAGACTGCATTATTCCACATACATGACATACAGACAGGAATCAAATCCACACTGACAAACAGTATAATGGTGCTTGCCAGGGGCTGAGTACTGAGTGGGCAAGTTTCAGATGCGGAAGACAAAATGTTCTAAACATGACTAGAACCCAATAAATATACATAAGGCCCCTGAAGTGTACATTTCAAAATTGTCATCATGGTCAATTTTATGTTACATGTAAGTGATGATTGAGAAAGAGCAACAATGTGTGCAGCTTATAAATGGAAGGACACCTTGTGTTGTACAACATCGTCATTTAGGTTCCTAAGTTATAATTTAACTATCGTTTAACAGTTAATGACATGACAGTTAACATTTAAACAGTGGAATAACATGACCCAATACCGAGTTATCATTCACATTCACAATGGATTCAGAAGAAGGGCTCACCTGAAAATGCCAGCCACAGAGTCAGTAGACTATCCTGAAAAGATGACGATGAATCTTCACATCAAAACTGGGATGGCTGGGATGAGCCCTTTTGGAGTACCATCCGATGGTGTTAAAGTACTTCTTGAACACAAACAAATGTTCACACTTTAGTAAATCCCAGGACACCTTGAGGATCTCAAGGACCGCTTTTAGGAAGTCCAAGTAGTGATGACTGCCAACTCTAAGAGAAATAGGTAACTCCAAACATTCCGATGTTTCCATGACAACCAGGCCTAGATGGCAGATTTTGAGCAATAAACATTTGAAGATACTTAACAAATAAAGGGCCGTGGTGTGCAATGTCTCTTTGATAGGTAGAGTGGTGCTTTGAAAATGGCAGGTTCTTTCAAAGGTCCAGCTTCAAGCCATTATAATTTCTGTGGCTTAAAAAAGAAAAATGGAAAAAGAAAAGTTAATTCCAAGCTAGAAGTAAAGAAAGTTGTCCCAATATAAAAGCAAATTGTCTTACTGGAGAATTCAGGGCTATTTCTTTCTCTATTTTATGCACAGAATCAGGTTATGTACTGGAAGTCTTCAATTGCTCAAACCCTGGGATTTTTTTTTCCTTTTTTTAAAATTTTTTGGTCTTTTTGAGACAGGGTCTCCCTGTAGCCCCAGCTGTCTTAGAACACACTATATAGACCAGACTGGCCTTGAACT